GACTGCTGGACCCCAGTACTCCTGCACTGGAAGCCTCAGAGCCTGTGACGCACTGAGCACAACTTTGAGTTCCCCTCGGAAGTGACGGCAGTACACTTTGCCCTGCTCATGTCCAGGTTCTGCATCCATGAATTCAACTAACTTGGGGCTGAAAATGTTACCGAAAATAATGTCACGTGGTTGCTGATGTGTACTGTGTAGTTAGGCTTATGGTGGCTGCGTCTGTGCTGAACAGGTACAGACTTCTTTTCTTGTCATTATTCCCTAAACAATACAGTATGATGACTAATTTAGATTGTATTGAGTATTATAAGTAATCTGGAGATGATTTAAAGTATAAGGGAGGCCCTGGCTGGTGTGGTTCAGAGGACTGAGCGCTGGCCTGCGAACCAAAGGGTCACTGCTTCGATTCCCAGTCAGGGCACATGCCTGGGTTGCAGGCCAGGTCCCCAGTAGGGGGCATGTGAGAGGCAACCACATATTGATGTTTCTCTCCCTCTATTTCTCCCTCCCTTCCCCTCTACCTAAAAATAAATAAAATCTTTAAAAATTAAGTACACAGGAGGATTGCATAGGTTACATGCAGATACTGTGCCATTTTCTGTAAGGGTAGTTTGGTGTCCATGGGGCGTCCTGGAAACAGTCTCCCACAGATACTGAGGGATGACTGTGTATTTTCGAAAAGAAAGTTAAAAACATTTCTTTCTTTTTAGTTCACAGTGACCTCATTTAATTAGTGGAGCAAACGGGTAAGGGGAGAAAGAAAACAAGTGCTGGAGAGAGGGAACAAAGTATTAGTGGGTGGTTTTAGCCGGCCAGGGGCGGGGCCCACATCTAGAACTGAAACTGCGATTAAGGACGCCACACCTCTCAGCCACCTCCGTGCACTTGACTTCCCTGGGGAGCTCGGTCCTTTTCCTTTCAGGACGCGCTGCACACTTGCCTTTGTGCACGCAAAGCCGTGCAAGTGTTCCAGCGGAGTCGGCTCCCAGAGAGCGGGAGGAAAGGATTTGGAACTGCCTTCCAGCGCCAAAGACGTATATTCCTATAAACAACATACACGGTTCTGGGCCTTGCAGTGGTCTCTCAGGGCTTCTCTTTCTGGGAAAACGGAATTTCTGAGTAGTGTCCCGGCTACTCTGAGAAAACCATTAGGGCAGCAAGGAGGAGGGGGGTGGCGACCCAAGAGGAACGCAGCCCTCCTGGTCGGGCACATTTCTGGGTTAACGACGTGTCTTGGGGATGTTTCCGCAACTAGCAGAAGTTTAAAGGAAACCCTGTTTTCCGCCTTGCCGGCCTGCCTTGTGTTTCCTTCCCTCGGCACGGAAGCTTGAGGTGGCTGCTGGTTGCCCCTACATCAGGAAAGCCCAGGGCTCCCTTTTTATCGCCCTTACATCTCCTCCTGCCCTCTCCAGCTGCGGCCTTGAACAGAGCTGGCTGGACACGCGGAGGGATGCCCTCTCGACCCCGCAGCCCAGTGTACCACAGGCACTGACTGCCCCGGCTCCGGTCTGTCCCCGCATAGGCCTGAGAAGTGCCTTACAGGACTCTTGACAGGATCCTGAAGGAGGAGGGAGGGGGCGTTGCCCCTTTCATCTGTTAAAGTAGCTATTGAACTGCTGACCTTGCTATAGGAGAGCATCGTTAGAAATGGGGAGGGGGCGGGCAGAGGAGAGTAATGGGGGAAAAGAGGGACAACTGCCATTGGATGACAATGAAAAAGAAATGGGGGAGAGCAGCACGAAGCGAAGGAGCTCTGCAAGGTCGGGGAGGGACTGGCACAGGTGTGAGGCGGTCTGTCTAGAGAAGGAAGGGGGGGGACAGAACTGGCCTGGGTTGGGGCTCACCACTCAGTGAAGGACCTCACAGCCTCCTGCAGTATTGGTTTTATCACATACCAAATTAGAATACTGCTTCCTACCACAGGGAATTGTCTCTTGGGACTGGTAATTACCATTTTGAATTCTTGGTCCTCATTTTTGGTCCTCTTACCGGGCTCTGAGCAGCTCTTGAGTTCCTCTGGGGTTCTCCTTCCCCTCCCAGCCCACCTCCTGGCATCACTGTTGAAGGCCGCCCTGTAAGCCCCACAGCACAGAGGGCCCCAGGTTTTGAACCATGGCCTTCTGTGCCTGCGGTCACTCGAACCCCTCCTCTGAGCCTTCCTCACACCTGTTTGTGCTCAGTCCTGTGGCTGGGCTGACCTTCCCACACTGCGTGCATTCAGCCCTACCCCAAAGCAGCATGTGTGATTGGAGCCTCCTCGCCTCCCCATCCAGCAGGGCCCTTCTTCTCTCTGCTTTTTGAAGAAGTTAAGAAACCAACCCAGAGGAGTGGAAAGAACTCTGACCTGAGGGTGAGACAGAGTTAGGTCGTAATCCTGACTTTGCCCATTAGCTAGTCTTCCCTGCCCTTCCTGAGTCTGTCCTTATCTGTAAAGTGGAATATCACCTACCACATAGAATCTGTAGGCATGTTAAATTATCTGGAACAGCGCCTGCCACGCAAGTAGGCACTCAAAAAATAGCAATCTCTTCCTTGCTGTTACGTGAAGACTTTAACTCAGTGGAACCAAACAAAGTTGTGTACACTGCAGCCAGTTCACCTGTCGCGTACCCCCAGTAGTGCTGCGTCATCCTTCTTGTCCATGAAAACGATGCGCTCCCCTTCCCTCAAATTCTGGACTTCATGGCTTGTTTTTCTACAAGTTGGATTTGTGCTCTAGCCCTTGGGCCAGCCGTCATAGGTTGTGTAGGCAGCAAGCCAGCTGGGTTTTTAGACAGATGGTGTGCGACTGTGGCACGGAAACTAGCTGACCTGTGTGGGAATCAGACCCATGATTCCGCCCAGTCGCCGTGTTTGATGACAACAGCACCTTCAGGGCACCACTTGCTTCAGAGTACTTTCCTGTTTGACTCCTGCCGGAGTTCCGGGAGGTGGACAGATTCTCACTCTACAGAAGAAGAAAATGAGACCCCCAAAGTGGCCACACCCTGTGGCACACCAGTAGTGATTGGTAAAACCCCGGACAAGAACACAGATGCCTTGATTTTCTGTCTGGGACTTCTGTGAGGTTTTGAACCCAAATGACGGCCCTAATTCTGGCTGTGCAAATGAAAGTTAGTACTCTCCCACAGCCCCCCAGTTTTCCTGTCACATGCGCACTTTGTGCCTGTTTCTTACAGAGTGTTCCGTAGCTCACTGAATGAGTTACGTGCTGGGTGCCCTAGGCGCTGGGGGCGCTGTCAGAAGTGAAAGAAATGGACAAAACCCCTGCCGCGCCCTGACGAAGCCTCTCCTACTGGTAGAAGGCTGGCAATGCACACATGAGGGTAGTTGCAGTATTACTGTCAAGAATGTCAGCTGGTGGTGAGTGCTATGGAGAAAAATAAGGCAGAAAGGAAGCTGGGGTTGGGTGGGGCAGACACTGAGTTTTCTTTTTGATTCTTTGTACTTACTGTCCCATCCATGTAATAAGCTCTCCGAGGAGAGAGTAAGGCTATGAGTGCATGCCCTGCTGGTCCATCATGCCTAGTACAGATTCCTACGTAATCACGGCTTTTGGGGACTGATTTTGGAGTTGAACCAGCCTTACCCAGGAGAAGCAGGTGCAGGGGCTGCCTGCTTACCCACTGAGATGCCCTGGACCTCCCCAGAGCACAGTTGGGGTGGCCTGGATAGTGCCCTGGAATGCTCTAGTGGGGTGGGGAGGGAGCCTGTGCTATTTTTTTTTTTTTTAAGAGAACATTTGTTAAATCTAGAGCTCCCCCTGCTGTTAGAAGATGGGGTGGGCTCTCAACTGATCTTTTACGACAGTTTCTTTTTAATACTAAAATTAAAAGCAATTTAAAAAAAAGTATTACTGAGACATTTGGGACTTTGTTCTGGGACTGCTGTTGCTGAAGCCCAGTCCCCCGCCCCGGGGGGGGGGGGTTGGGATGGAGGGAGGAAGTACAAAGGCCCGGGCAGGATAGGGTCATATCTATGCTCTTGCTACTTTTAGCGTCTCCCTGCCCTGCACTCCTACCACAGACAGTAGCCTAGCAAAAGTTATCTCCTCACACAGTTTCGCAGCTGTTCTGAAATTCTGGGGCAGCAGAAGTGAAACTAACCACTGTTGTAAATTTCTCTCTTATTGCTATTGTTCCTTACTTGAATTGAGTCAGGCCTTTCACCCTCTTATCCTCAGGGTGCCCCAACCCATCGTTTGTCCCTGTAGCTGAGTTTCTGACACAGAATTCTCGCCCTGGTGCCACATTTGTGGGGGGTCCTGTTTGGTCTCCCACCCTCAGTGTTGGTTGTTTGCGGAGTCCAGAGCCATGGCCCCGGGGTGGTGGTGGCCCCCGCACAGAGCGGAGTCCTTGACCAGGGCTGCAGCGAGCCCTGCTTGTCGGCTGCCGATGGTGCATGTGCACCAGGGTCAGACACGCAACCACCGTGTGAAGCCCCTTTAGTCCTCAGAGATGAAATTCAGGTTAATTTTAGCAGCACTATTAATACCAGCCGAAGCGAAGAAGGAATGGCACCCAAGTAGACATGTCTTCTTGTTGAGCCGCTCCCTTCAGTTTGGTCCCTTGGTGGCTTCTCATGAGGCTGGAGTCGGGCGGACCTGCCGTGCCGCGCTGACCCTCCCTGAGAGTGAGGCGAGGCCCAGGAACTGTTCTCGGAGATGGGCCAGTCAACGAGGATGGTACCCGTACCAGTCCAGCCTATGGGTCCAGGATGCCTTTTAAAGTTACATTTGATGGGTTCACTTGACAGAGCCCAGCCTAGGTCAGTGACTGCTCCCATTAGGAACGAATAGCCCAGACCATTGTAATGGGGTAAGCTGAACCATGAAGACACGTGCTTACTTGGGTGCTGCTTTTTTCTTCATTTCAGCTGATATTAATAGTACTACTACAATTAACTTGAATTTAAGATGTCTTCAACACAGTAAATTGTAGCAGTAGACATGATGCTTCACTAATAAAGTGATTATCTTGTGATTCTTTTCCCAACAGCTTTGAAAAGTCCAGCTGCGTTTCACGAACAGAGAAGGAGCTTGGAGCGGGCCAGGGTAAGGCACTGTCCTCCTCCCGAGAACCTCTAGAGAGAGCATGGTCAGAGCACCTTGCACTGCTGGTTATGCTCCTCCCCAGCTTGCCTGCAGGGCCAGCCCTTGCCTCACAGTTCCAAATAGAAAGCGTTTTCTATTTCATCCCCACCCCCGCCATCTCCCAGAGTGGTGCTCCGGAGCATGGAACGTGATTAGAGTGAGTTTTCTCCTTTACCACGCAGGTTCAAGAGTTTGTGGTGATCACCGACCCTCCCTCCTCTGGCTTTGGAGACCGCTTGTATTTTCCCATTCTTGATTCCACCTGAACCATTTGCGGATATTAGGACAGGGCGTGACGCCAGCCGTGGTCCCTCCACGTCAGTGGCTGCACTGCTCACGCCTTTCAGGGCGGGCACTCACCGGTCTTCGTGCGCCCGGAGCAGCCAGGGTCCATTTGAGGCTGTGGAAGCAGAAGCTGGGGCCCAGTCTGGGCCCAGGTTCAGGCTCCACACCTGGCTGCTGCCTGTCCCCGCTTGGTTTCAGTTCCCTCGGGAGCCCCAGGGGAATATTCTGCCGTCCACTGTGGGCGGAGATCAGGAAGTCGCCAACACACGCTTCCCCCTCTTGCTCCCTTCACTTTGTCTTTCACGTCAAAGACAAGGGAAGAGAATCTCCCAAAGGGAGGGCCACAGGCTGAGGTCCCCCAAGACCCACCGCTCTTCCAGAGCCTGAAATGTTGACCTCCAAGGCTTTTCTTACTGCCTTCTCTTTAAATTTATTTTTTAAAATGTTCTAAGGAAAGTCATGATGAATCCTTAGAGTGAACCAAAGCAGTAACAAACGGGACTGTTTTAGTGCCGCAGTGTCGGACAGTGCAGCGCGGTAGAGAAGGAGTGGCATTGCCTGCGCCCCAGCCCGTTTCCTGGCTGCTTCTCCAGCGGGCAGGGAGTAGCTGTGAGCCCATTAAAGCAACTGCTATTTTATTGGGCATTTAAAAAATATTTTGCTTATTTTTATACAGAGGGGAATGGAAAGAGAAAGAGAGGGAGAGAAACATCAATGTGTGGTTACCTCTCATGTGCCCCCTACTGGGGACCTGGCCCGCAACCCAGGCGTGTATCCTGATTGGGAATCGAACCAGCGACCCTTTGGTTTGCAGGCCAGTGCTCAGTCTACTGAGCCACACCAGCCAGGGCTCTTGGGCATTTTTATATGTGAAGATATATTTTCTTGTTTATGCTCATACTAGCTCTTATAAATTAGGTGTTCCTATCTTTATTTTATAGCTGCAGCTAAGAAAGTTTTAAGTAATTTGTCCAGCTAGCAAGTGGCAGAGCTGGGACTCACACCTTGGTCTGTGGACTCTGGGTATTTTTTTAATCAGTACTGTATTCTGTCTTGGCTTTGGGCACTGCCCAGAACTTCATGACATCCTCTGAGGGCTGTGGAGACCTGCGGCATCTCATACCTGTTTTAGCGTCTTCTACGGCAGCCAGAGCACTTTTTCTGCCCTCTGCCTACGGGGTGATGCAACCAGGGCCCAGCCCCTCTTAAACCACCTCCCGGAGAGCTCCGCATCACCCCGGGCTGGCCCTGGCTGCCCGGTCAGAGCCCGTGCGGCCGACGAGGGCCAGCGGGACAGAACAAGGCCTTGACCTTTGCCTCACACAGTGTAGTCTAATACTGTATTTTCTGCCCTGCCCTGCCCTACTTTACCTCATCCTCTCTCTTCCCTGCTGGTCTTGAACCACCGATGGACTTGAAGTACAGTTTGAAATTTCCTGGTGCAGGGGTTAAGAGCCCCAGCTCTGGAGTCCGATGGGTCTGGGGCCACATGAATACGTTCTAACGGGAGCGCCAGGCAGTGGGGGCGGCTCTGGGGCTGTCGACAAGATGGTTTCGTTTGCCTGCGCCTCAGAAATGAGGAAATGAGGACCTCGGACTTGGAGGAACTGGAGCTATGACACTGTGTATCAAAATTAGTGTTCTTCTCGGTAGGCGTTCAGAATGAATGGAAACTGTTCATGAGGTCATAAAAAAGTTTTGGAAAATAGATACAAAAATTGTATTCAGTATGATTACAACTCTACAAAATTAAGTTGTTGCCTTTGTGGAAGAATGATTATAAATATCCCAAAATACTAACAGTGGATGATTAAAATACTTGATTGTTTTACTTTTTAATTTTCTGTGTTCTTTGATGAACATATATTACTTTCATGACAGTAAAAGTAGTAGATTTAAAAAATATATATCAGTAGTTCGACCTCAAAATGACCAGTGGTTTTGACAGATGGATAGTGCCCTTGGGGGGTGCAGCTGGAAGTGGGTGGGGCCTCCCCGGGCCTCCGAACCCTGCAGTCCCCGGGCTGAGGTCCTGGGGGCTGCAGAGGTGACCAATGGCCACAGCTCCTTTTTGGTCCATGCCATAAGCTTGTGCCCTGGGTTTGAGAGCTTCTTGGTGTGTTTTTCCTACAGACAGAGGACTATCTGAAACGCAAGATTCGCTCCCGGCCAGAGAGATCGGAGCTGGTCAGGATGCACATTTTGGAAGGTGTGTCATCATGGAAATGCTTCTGAACCTTGTTGTCGCTGCATGCTCACCACCTCGCCACCCACATCTCTTCTTCCCTTTCCTATCACTCCCATTCCTGTAGGCGGTGGGGGAGCCGGAGCCTCGGCACGGCGGAACGGCAGTGCTGCGGCTGCCGTCGCCGGGCTGCGGGAGTTCCCAGACAACCACAGTCACACTCTGTTGGGCTGGCTTACCCTTTTCTCCTGTGGCCATGGGGTGGCCCTGGATCTCATCTCTCGATATAAAATTCTTTCCCCCAAAACCTGTTTTTAAAATGCATTTGCCTTCTCTTTTTCATTCATTGATTCATTCAGTCAGCATTTCCTTGAGCCCCTGTGATGGATAAATGCGGTCGTCCTAGCCATACTCTGCCTGGCTCCAGCACACTCTTCACCCGCATCCTAGCGAGGGAAAGAGTTTGGCTGCTGAGGGCAGTGTGAATCTATCCATTTTTTGTTGTAGTTTTGAACCACCTTTGGGGTTGGACGAGAACTTTCCTAGTCTGAACCCCAACATTTTGCAGACGAAGACACGGAGGCCCAAAACAGGAAGGTGAATTGCTCCCGTAACACAGAGCTCGCGGGAGAGTAGAGACCGCTGCACTGCCGCGTGTGACCACGCGCTGCCCACAGTGGGGGCCTCTTCTTCTGTCCTTGCGGAGCTTTCAGCTGGGCCGCCCTTTGCTGCCTGGGGTGTGCTTTGCGTTCTGGTAGCCTCTGCCCCTTCCTCAGGGGAAAGGAGAGGCGCTCTGGAGTGCCCAGGGCAAAGCCAGATCCATTCCCACACCCTCCTGCACTCCGTTCTCTCCCACGGGCAGAGACCTCGGCGGAGCCTTCCCTTCAGGCCAAGCAGCTGAAGCTGAAGAGAGCCAGACTGGCCGACGACCTCAACGAGAAGATCGCGCAGAGGCCTGGCCCCATGGAGCTGGTGGAGAAGAACATCCTGCCTGTGGAGTCCAGCTTGAAGGAGGCCATCATCGGTGAGGGGGCCCCGGCACCCCGTGTGGGCCTGCAGGCCAGATGGGGGGGGAGGGCCCTCTGAGTGTCTTGCCCTTTGACTTCCTGCTGTGACGCGGGGAACGGAGGTACAGGGTGTGAGAGCCTGGTAAACAGGTCGTCCCAGCTTGGGGTAGTGCCATGCTGGCGTAGCGGAGTAAACAACAAAGAGGCCTCTGTCCGCCTTCAGCCCTGGGCTTGCTCTCCTCTCACGGGGCCCAGGGACGTCACGGACTGTGTGTGCACGCCTGCAGAGGTGGCAGAAACTGGAGGTCTGTGCCACACTGTCGGCTTTCATTGGCGAAATCTCTTTTTGGAGCCGGGCGCTTTCCACGGATACTTTACTTTTGAAATACTGGCTGATCCAAACCGTGTGCTCGGTGCTAGGGCCACAGCCCCACAAGGCAGACTGAGCCCCTCGTCCCTCCGGAGCGCACATCTAGATGCAGACACAGGCAGCTAAACCAGGCAGAAGCGAGAGCCGTGCTGGGGAGGGCACGCAGAAAGGGCCCCCACCCCTGCCCCGACAGTGGGGTGCGGTGTCAGGGGAGGTGGCAGCCAAGACTGGGCTGCAGGGTGAGCAGGAGGTGGAGTGCGTGCAGGGGGGGAGGCAGAGCCCAGGACAGGCAGGGCTTCCTCTGCCACGGTCAAGTGGTCAGACACGATTCCCTTAAAGTGTGGTGCAGACATGTCTGCTGTGCAACAGTGGGCCCCAGACCCGAACAGACAAGGCTGTGTGTCCCTGCTCTCGGGAGGTAGCTGTGGTTCCAGGGGGGGGAGGCTCGACTGCTCCCACCACACGAGTTAGACTTGGGGCGTGGCGCGCGAGGGGAGCCACAGGAGTGGGCCCCAAAGCATGCGAGTTGTGCCCTGAGCCCTGGGTCAGAGGCCACTGTGCATGGCAGGTGGTGGCGTGACGGGGCAGGGGGCCGCCACCGAGCCGGAGGCAGCCCTTCCCTGGGCCCCCGCCAGCCCTTCTGGCTCATGGCTTTGCCCAGCTTTCCTCAGAGAATTCAGTCTGAGGGGTGGAGACTGATGTATCAACAGGTGATTTCTGAGTCTGGCCCCCGAGCAGATGCCGGCATCGTGTAGCAGCAAGGCCAGGCCCTGTGACGCAGCTCAGTCACTAGACTGCAGGGCGGGAGACCTGGCACAGCTCTGGCACCTGGCAGACTCTCGGGAGGGCTGCGGCGGGCAGCACAGAGCGGGGCGGGGGGCTGGGTGTCCGGTGCAGAGGAGCGCGGCCGCCGGGACGGGCTGCCCTCAGGGAGGGGCACGGTGCAGTGGCTGGGGAGTGCCGCAGGTGACACGGCACATTCTGGGTCAGCCCGAAGGCTGAGTCACATTGTCAGGTGGAGAAGTGCAGGAGGACATTCCAGACGGAGGGGCAGCAGGGGCCGTGTCCTGGAGGTCTGGCGGAGCGCGGCCCGTTTCAGGCCTGGGAGTAGTTTGGTTTGGCCACGGAGAGAAGGAAGCCCTTGCTGGCCAAGGGCCGGTCATGCGGGTTGAGGACAGAGCAGGGAGTAAGGAAGTGGTGACGGCCCACGCGGTGCATTTGTCCAGGACGTGAGGGGGGAGGTAAAGAGGGAGATGGTGGGTTAGGACGGATTTTCCACTGGGAAGGAGGGGCGGGGCAGGAGCTGAGACGTTCCGAAGCCTGAGAGAAGGGCACCCTGGGAGGGACTCTCCTTATCTGCCACAGTCGCTGGCACAGGCACCTCTTCTGCAGGCCACCCCGAGCTGACCCTGAGACTCGTGTGAAGAGCCTTTCTTCCAGAGTCCCCCCCCCGAGCCACTCTTCGCCGTCCCCCGCGTCTGCATTTCCGTCCAGCACGGAGCACGCGCTGCACCCCAAGGCAGCCAGGCCATAAACTCCCTGAGCGCAGGGACCCGTCTCTGTCCCTCCACATCCTGCACTCGGGCCACACCTGGCCACGGTGACCCTGGCCTGCACCGGTCCTTGGCCTTCTGCAGGGTGGCCGGCAGCTTCGTTGGGTTGGGCAGACCCAGAGGGCAGAGAGATGCAGCTCCTCCATCCTGGTCCCCTTGTGCGGCTGCTGTCTCGCTGGCAGTGAGAGACCACGGGAGAAAGTCCAGGAGTGTGATGTCCTGAAGTCCACGGCGGTCCGCAGCCTCCATTCCCTGCGTGCACTGCGCGGGGGCCCTGCCAGGACAGACGAGAGGGCGGTGAGCCAGCCCGGCCATGGGCACGCCTGGCTGCATCACCACAGTCGGCTGGCGGAGGGACAGACTCACGGGCTTCCTTCCCAGGCCCCAGGGGAGGAGAGAGTCTCAGGTCATGGCCCTGGAGGGGAAGCGTCTGCTGGGAGAGCTGCTGGCTTATTCTTGTTCCTTTTCTGTGGTCTCCCCACCACAGCAGGTCCGCAGGTGCGGCCGACAGCTCACCTCCGCGCCGTGGTCACTGCCTCGGTTCCTCCTGGGCGGGCAGCAGCCCGGTGCAGAGCCTCTTCCCCGACAGTGCTGAGGCGGAGGTTGTGGCGTGGGTCTTCTGAATCACCCCACTAGCCCCTGTTACCGTCTTTCCTTTTCTCTGGATCCTGAGATTTCCACACCAGGACTCTGTTGCTCCTGCCTCTCCCTCCCAGCTTGGCCCCAGCCGGCCCCAGAGGCACCTGCGCTCTCGTCCCTCCCAGCCCAGGGTGCAGCAGGGCAGGGTGGTTATAGGCCGTAGGATGGGTTTTCTTCTGGTGGCCTTGGTCTCTGGGAGTCACTAAAAGGAGGTCACCATCTTTCCAGTGGTCCTGTCTCACCTGGACAGGCAGGTGTTCCTTTTCCAAGAGGCTCCTCGGACTGCCCCTGGTCGTTGTTCAGGCAGCTGGCCAGGGAGCCCTCACTGCAGGGTCCGCAAGCCTCTGGGGAAGAGGGGAGTTTTGTGTGCAGCCACAGGATGGAAACAAAGTACTTTTAACAATAGGGAAGCTGAGCCAGGGGAGGTAGCAGCTTGGAGGGAGGGAGGGGAGAACTTTCCAGACTGACCGCAGTGTAGAGTTAAAAGCAAGAGGTGAAAGGTCAGGTCTTTCCTTGCCCAGGGGAGCACTGTAATGGGCCAGTGGGACTCTTTCCAGCCTTTGTTTCGAGGTCACGATGATGCGCTTTCTTAGAGCTCTTTCGGACCCACCAGGCAGGTTGGCTGCTGGTCTCCCTTCTCCTGTCCGCTGCTGGGCTGGGGCAGGGGAGCGGAGGGGGCTGGAGGACGGGCACCTGGCTGGGACAGCCTCTGGCGGGAGAGCAGGGCCCCCCTTCCCCTTCCCTGGGGCCTGAGGTGGAGCCTTACGCTGGCTTTGGCTTTCAGTGGGCCAGGTGAACTACCCGAAGGTAGCGGACAGCTCTTCGTTCGACGAGGACAGCAGCGATGCCTTATCCCCCGAGCAGCCTGCCAGCCACGAGTCCCAGGGCTCAGTGCCATCACCCCTGGAAGCCCGCGTCAGCGAGCCACTGCCCAGTGCCACCTCTGTACCCCCCACTCAGGTGAGCTGGCCTGCCCCGCGTGCCTCCCCTGCTCCTGTGGGCCCCGAACTTGTTGGAGCCGCCCCGTTTGGGGCCCCTCGCTGAGACCAGGCGAGACAGTGGTAGGAGGGGTGTTGCGCTGGTAGCTCAAGAGCTGGCTGCTCCGGGGAAGGGGCGCGTCAGCAGCGGATAGCCATTCCGGCCAGCCTGTGGCCCCAGGGGGAGGACACCGGGCCACCTGTGGTTCCTAAGCCTCCTTGGCCCACCCCGACCACCCTCTGTCTCTCCCTTTTCTAGTCCCCCTTGCCCACGGGGATGGCACCTAAGGAAGTGACTGTCACCCACCTCCAGGCAGAGCAGGACTGGATGCACTGCCCCCCGGAGATGGCACGCCCCCTCACTTCCCCTTCTCTCGCAGGTCGTGCCTCAACTCCCAGTGGGCCCAGAGGCTGGAGAAACGCTTTTCCTGGCGGAGCAGCCTCCTCTGCCCCCCAGCCTCACCAACGGAACCACGGCCCCCACTGCCAAGCCCGCCCCCACGCTCATTAAGGTACCGTTCTCTGGTGGCCGTTCTTCCCTCCCTGTGCCCCTCGGAGCCGGCTGTGACTTCGTGCCCCTGTGGGGACAGCTGGGGGGTGGGGGGTGGTGCACATCACTGCTCCCTGGTCAGGGCCTAGCAGAGGCCACTGAGGTGGTGTTCGGTGCTTCTGCGGGGGCCGGCTGTCGCAGTGCTCTCCCCCCCTCACCGAGCACGGCGTGTGCTCCGTGCTCCGGGCTGGGCTGCCGGGCTTCCATCTCTGCCCTCCCTGGGGGGCACCGGACAGCCTGCTCCCCCGGCAGCAGAGCTGAAAAGTGAAGCCAGGGCCCAAGGCCACTCAGCTGGCAGTGACAGGGGTTCGTTCTTGTCCTCCTCCATGGCCCGACCTGAAATTCCTGGAGGGGCCGCTGGGTTTGCGGTCAAGTCAACCCCGTGGGCACCAGGAGCGCGCTCCGGTCCTCCCTGCCCCGTAGAGCCCCCGCCTCCGGGGCCTCGGAAACCCCGTCCGAGCTCCTGCTGGCCGGGTTCCCTCCCTTCCCGCCCGCTCCCCTGTCGGGCCTTGTTCTCCAGTCGCCCCACACTCCCTGCCTGCCCTGGTGGGGGTCTGGCCGTCCGTGGTCCTCTGCTCCTGTCGCTCCCAGCCTAGGAGCGGGCCAGGTTCGTGTTCTCTCACGCCAGCTGAGCCGCGGCTGCACCTCTGGGTGCTGTGTTTGTCTGTGGGGCTCCCTGAGGCGCCCCTACTCGCCCTGCGTGGGCCCCACCCCTCAGCCCGCCTGCCTGCTTTGAGGCTTCCGAGTCCCAGAGGAAGCAGCCAGCGCCCTCGGCCGGGCCCCGGTGCTCCGGAGCGTTGTGCTGGCTCCGGGCCGCTCCCTCCGCAGTGGGTGCTTTTCTTGCCTCTGTGGTCTGTTCCTGCCTGGCCACAGTTGTTAGTGTTTCCCCCAAAATTCCTCCCCCAGACTTGCTCCCCGTCGTGACCTGTGCCTTCCCTTGACCACCACACACTCGAAAGTGTGCGTGTCTGTCTTCACTTCCTCCTCTCTGGGTTGGCCTCGGCCCCTCTGGGCAGGCCCCTCTCTCTGTGCCTGCTCTCCCTCGGCTCCTCCTGCTCCTCCCTCTCTGCGGGGCCCTCCCAGGCCCAGCCCTCGGCCTCTGTCCTCCGTCCTCCGTCCTCCGGCCCTGCTGGCCCCACTGCTCACTCCGCAGCCTTGCCCCGGGCCCGTCTCCATGCACCCAGGTGCTCTGCCAGCTCTGCTGTCTCCTCGCTCTCTCCGTGCCCCCTCGCAAAACCAGAGCCTCTTCCTGACTCCCGCAAAGCGGCCACCGGTGTCAGAGTTGCCAGAGCTCCAAGCTGTAAACCCTCGAATTGCTCCCCCGCCGCGTGCTCCCATTGTCCACTCTTCCTCTGGCCCGTCTGCCCAAACCTGTGCTTCAGTGCCCACTGCCACTGGGTCACGACCCCAGCGGATTTTGTACCAAGTCCCCACCCTCCTGTCTGGCGTTCCCGCGCAAAAACCTCTCGGCTCTCCACAGTCCTGGCCTGGCACGCCCCTGCTGATGCTTGCCCTACCCTTCCTGACAGCCACAGGCCTCCGGCCGTGATCCGCTACCCTTCTTGGTCAGCCGGGTCCCCGGTGTGCCAGTCGGGGGTCTTCGAGGCCCCTTTGGTGAAGGAGCAGAGCTTTTGGAGTCCGGGGTTTGGGTCCCAGGTCCCCTCACGAGGCGTGATCAAGGCCACTGTGTGGCCTCTGAGCCTGTTTTCTCATTTGCAAGTGAACCTGGGACTCCCTGCCCAGGCAGGCTTCCTGCAGGTCTGTGCGACCCGGTCTCTGTGAAGGGCCTGGTGTGGGTGACACGAGGTCCAGAAACCAGCTCTTTCTACCTCCTTGTCATGTTCACTCTGTGCTTGGTGTGACAGTGACATCTGCTTTTGATTGACTTTCCCTTAGCCTGGAGCCTTCCCCTCAGTCCGCCTTTGCCCCCTCCTTGGCACACTTCCGGCCACTGATGAGGCCTCCGCTTTGGAGGGGTACGGTCCTGGAGGAGGAGGAGGGGGGGACTAGGCAGGGTGGGTGGCGGTGCCTCCTCGGAAGCCACTCCATTGCAGTGGGGTGGCCACCGGCCTCCCACTTGGTGGCCTCCCTCCGAGAGGCCCGGGACTGCCCCCTGACGGCCCCTCCGTCTCCTGCTCCCTCAGCAAAGCCAACCTAAGTCTGCCGGTGAGAAGCTGCAGCGCAGCAAGAAAGCCAAGGAACTGAAGCCAAAGGTGAAGAAGCTCAAGTATCACCAGTACATCCCCCCGGACCAAAAACAGGACAAGGGGGCGCCCCCCATGGACTCCTCCTATGCCAAGATCCTGCAGCAGCAGCAGCTCTTCCTGCAGCTGCAGATCCTCAACCAGCAGCAGCAGCAGCACTATAACTACCAGACCATCCTGCCGGCCCCGCCAAAGTAGGAGCCCACCACAGCCCCCGCTCCCCCCATCCCCGCTGTGAGTGCCCTGAGACAGGCAGGTGCCAGCCAGGTCTGGGGTGGGTGAACCCCGGTCTTCAAGGATCCTTTGTCTGGATCTTGCGGGACTAGTTCCCAGGCAGGGCCTGTGGGCAGACCCCTCGTCCCAAGCCACCTCTGCTCGGCCCTGGGGAAGGGGGAGGGGGAGACCTGTGGGTGCCCACTCCTGTCTTTCTTTCCTCAGGCCGGCAAGCGAGGCTGCGGGAAGCAGTGGGCCCCCGCCAATGCGCAGCCTTTCCACTCCCAGTACCGGCTCCGGCTCGGGCGCCCCCGGGCCTAGTGGGCTCGCACGTCAGAACAGCACCTCACTAACTGGCAAACCGGGGTCCCTGCCTGCCAATCTGGACGACATGAAGGTAGGCGGTCATCCGAAAGTTAGGGAAAGCAGCCGGCTCGGCACCCGTGGTCATGGAAGGCGGAGCAGAGCTCCGGAGTCCAGTCTCCAGCAGAGGCACCTGGAACCTGCCCCAGGGCCTGCCTGGCCCTGGCCATTGGCGACATCAGCCAGCATCTGTCCGGGGCCTCGGGGCTTACCCAGCCCTTGTGAGCCTCTTCTCTTCCTCGGCCTCTGCAGGGCCGTGTGGGAGACAGGGAGTGTCCCCCACTTGCGGGTGAGCTGGCAGGGGTGCCTTGGGGGAGGTCTGACAGGGGCAGAGCCTGGACTGGGACGCGGGGCCGTCTGCTTCAGCGCACCCGCCTCTCCCACCGCGCCGGTCAGCACCGGCCCCAGCCCCACACCTCCTGGGCGAGTGCGGAATCTGCCTGGGAGGGGGGCGGCGTGTGCTGTGTCCTGGGGCCTTGGAGGGGTGGGTCGTGCTGGGGCCTGGCCTGCGTCCTCTGCCCGGATCAGAAGACTGTCCCAAGGGGTCACATTTTCCCTTGAGAGTGTGTCCTCCGAACAAACCCTCCCGCCCGGCCTGCATCGTGCCCTGACCACAGCAACACGCCGGTGCCTCACAGCGGCTTCAGAGTCCGTCAGCCGTGGCTGTGGCTCCCAACGCTGCCGCTCATTAGCTCTGTGATCTTGAAAGTTATTTTCCTCCTGTGAGCCTAATGTTTGTAAAATCTAATCAGTCCAGTAAGTCTTCACTGAGCACAGCCATCATGCTAGGGCAGGGGACAGCCGAGGGTGTGTTCTGCCCAGACATGGGGGCAGGGGAGGCTGCTGCTGTGGTGAGGGCAGGGAAAGGGAGCGGCTGGGCCTGGGGCCCGCGTCTCCCCCTCCAGGGCTGCGGGGGCGAGGGACTCATGTATGTGAAGTGGCCAGGGCGCCTGAGTAGGCGAGGCCTGGGAGACGCCAGAGCTTGTCCTCCTCTGACTGCCCTCTTGCCTGGACCCACTTCCCTGCATCCCCTGCTGCCCTGACTGTCCGCCCCCTTGCAGGTGGCAGAGCTGAAGCAGGAGCTGAAGTTGCGGTCACTGCCCGTCTCAGGCACCAAGACAGACCTGATTGAGCGCCTGCGTGCCTACCAAGAGCAAGTCAGCCCTGCCCCGGGGGCCTCCAAGGTCCCTGCCGCCACCTCCATCCTGCCCAAGGCTGGCGAGGTCGTGGTGGCCTTCCCCGCGGCCCGACTGAGCACGGGGCCTGCCCTGGTGGCAGCAGGCCTGGCCCCAGCAGAGGTGGTGGTGGCCACCGTGACCAGCAACGGAGTGGTGAAATTCGGCAGCACGGGTTCCACACCCCCCGTGTCTCCCACTCCCTCGGAGCGTTCGCTGCTCAGCACGGGCGATGAGAACTCCACGCCTGGGGACACCTTTGGTGAGATGGTGACATCTCCACTGACCCAGCTCACCCTGCAGGCCTCGCCACTGCAGATCCTCGTCAAGGAGGAGGGTCCCCGGGCTGGGTCCTGCTGCGTGAGCCCTGGGGTGCGGGCAGAGCTGGAGGGGCGTGACAAGGACCAGATGCTGCAGGAAAAGGACAAGCAGATCGAGGAGCTGACCCGCATGCTCCGGCAGAAGCAGCAGCTGGTGGAGTGGCTCAGGCTGCAGCTGGAGCAGGAGAAGCGGGCCCAGCAGCCCGCCCCGGCCGCCGCCCCGGCCCCCACCCCTCTTGGCGTCCCAGTGAAGCAGGAAAACAGCTTCTCCAGCTGCCAGCTGAGCCAGCAGCCCCTGGGCCCTGCTCACCCCTTCACCCCCAGCCTGGCAGCCCCTACTGCCCACCACATAGACACTTGTGCCCTGGTGCCCCCTGCGGTGGTGGTGAAGCAGGAAGCTGTGCTGCCCGAGCCAGAGCCGGCCCCCGCACCCCAGCTGCTTCTGGGCCCACAGGACTCTGGCCTCGTCAAGGGGGTCGCACCTCCCACTATCATCACTGACTCCACAGGGACCCACCTCGTCCTCACCGTGACCAATAAGAACGCAGACAGCCCTGGCCTGGCCAGCGGGAGTCCCCAGCAGGTACGTGGCTGTGGGCGGGGGTAGAGGACACAGGAGTGTGTGAAGGTGCTTCTAATGACAGCCCTGCGTACCCGGGGCCCCCGTGGCCGGGCAGGCCAGGCTTGCTTCCTTTAAACTTCCCCTTCAACCCTTCAAATGAGGGATTGCCATCCCTCTCTCACCAAAGAGGGTATTAAGACCTGGGACCGTTGTGGTACCTGCTCGTGACCCCACAGCCGTAAGGGTGGAGCCGTCAGTGGCTGCAGACCTCCTCCAGCTGTCGATGTCAGAACATTTCTGTGCCCCAGCAGAGGGCTCCGGAGCGGCCCCCCAGGCCAGGCCCACGCCTGCCTCAGCTCCGTGGGTGTGGGACGGGCCCCCGTGAGGGTCAGGGAGAGGCTGTGGGCTCAGCTCTCTGGCCCGGGGTCCGACTGCGGGGGCCAGGGGGTGGGCACTGACTGGGCTGAGGCTGGTGAGTTTCACTCCTCTCCTTCCCCTCAGAGAGGCCAGCTGACCACACCACAGTGTCACTGTCCAAACCCTCACAGCCCAAACCCTCAAACCAGCCTCCTTTTGGCTTTGTGTGGCCTCTCAGCCCTGCAGAATTCCAGGATGGAGGGGACAGTGCCAGGAACCAGGCACCTCAGGATGGGAGACAGCAGCCCTGAGCAACCTTAGGCAGAAAGGGAGGAGCAGGGGAGCCAGCCCAGAGCCCCACCCTCTGCAGGGTCAGAGGTCAGGGCCTCCGCCAGCCTGGATCCCTTTTCCCCAGTGGCTTCTCTGAAAGCTTCCTGAGAGCCAGTGCCGCTGGCCAAGTTGGCCTGGCCTGGAAGGTGGGCGCCTCCCGGCCTGTGCTCCTTCAGTGTGCAGCGCCCCGGGGCTGCTTCCCTCCCCCAGCTACGGCTTCTCTCACCGTTCTCATGTCCAGCCCTTGTCCCAGCCTGGCTCTCCAGCCCCCGGCCCACCAGCCCAGATGGACCTGGAGATGCCGCCACAGCCCCGCTTTGGGACCCCTACTTCTCTGCTGAAGAAGGAGCCGCCTGGCTATGAGGAAGCCGTGAACCAGCAGCCCAGGCAGCAGGTGAAGAAGGTAGGCTGAGGCCTGGTCAGGGTGGGTGGCTGCCTAAGCGGCGGGGCTGGGTTCCCGCAGTCCCCGCAAGCCCAGCTGGAGGATGGGGGTGGGCAGGAACCAGTCTTGTAAGGTCGCAGAGGCCTTGGGCCATTCCAGGCAGGGATGCGGGGGCCTGGCCCAGTGGGGTGTGTGGGCGCTGGAGCCTGAGCTTAGGCCGGTGGGCTCTTTGGGTCTGGCTCCCAGCTCCGGGCAGAGGGGGAAGGGTGTACGCCCTGATCCCAGCTAGGGGTCTCCTGTTGTAGATTTTCACCTTTTCTTTTTTCTGTCCTTTTTCTCTCCCACAGGAAAATGGTTCCTCGAGTCAACAGATGGATGACCTGTTTGACATTCTTATTCAGAGTGGAGGTAAAGTCTAAACCCCTGAACTGCCTCTTCCTTTCTCCATAGCTTGTCTCCAGCCCTCACTGGGTTGATTATTCTTTGTTTGGTTATTGAACACTTAATAGGCAACAGGCCTCGAACTTTGGGCACAGCAAGGGTTAAGACACCCTGCCTCCAGGGCCTTGGCAAGACTCTGGGGGAGGGGAAGTGTAGCCTCAACACTCCTTTGCTTTACCCAGACCCACTGCCTGGAAGGCACTGTCCCTGCAGTGCTGGGACACAGCGGTGAGCAAAATAATGGGATATAAGTGACAAAATAAGTAAATTATATCATTTGAGATAGGACTAAATGCTGTGAAAAGGAGGGAAGGATCTCAGGTGCATGGTGGGTGGGTGACTGGTGAGCACGTGCAGTTGTCAGAGTCAGGGCAAGGGCAGATCACGAGGCCTCGTGGGTGCAGCGTGCAGGTGCTGTGACTCTGGATGATGCCAGAATGCACCGCACAGCTCGGAGCAGAGGATTATGGAAAGGCAGGAGCAAGATGACCAACCACTGTAGCGATCCAGGCCAGGGGCAGAGGGCAGGTGCAGGGAGGCAGCAGCAAACTGGAGAAGCGAGGAGTCAGGAGAAGTCAGGATCTGCTGTGGAGAGAGCCAGTTTGATTTCTTTGTGGATTAGGAGTGTGGCGAGAGGACAAGAATGTAGCCAAGGATGGCATTAGGGGTTTCCGCCTGAGTCACCAGGATGCAGATGTGTGACTAGGGGGAGCTCCGGTGGGGTGTGTGGGGCCATATAATGTGCAGCCTCAGTCGGGTTTAGATATGTCCCAAGACTGGAGGCATCATGCGCACAGCCCAGGTGAGGTCTGGGCTCAGGGCAGTAACTGGGGAGTTGTTGGCATCTAGATCGGCAGGCAGAGCCGCAAGGCTGGGTGAGCAGAGAATGAAGCGGAGCTGGGGACACATGCAGATGAGGCTGGCCAAGGTGGAGAGGGCATTCCCGAGGGCGAAGGCCCGAAGCCAAGGGCTGCTGATGGGCAGTCAGGGAAGACAGAGACCAAGGTCTGGTGGCCATTGGTGACCTCAGCCAGGGCGCTACAGTGGGCAAGTCAGTTGTAGGGTGAATAGAGGCCAGCGGGTGTGGGGAGCAGCAGGTCTGGAGAGCTCTCTGCAGCGGGCTTCCTGCAAAGGGGAGCAAAGAAAGGGCAGCATGTTTGCATGCAGTGGGCCGACCGGGTGGTGTGGGGGCGGGGACCCGAGTGCAGGGAGGGCACAGGGCAGCAGAGCAGGGCAGGCGTCAGGTTAGAGCACAGGGATTTCACGAGGGGCAGCAGGCAAGAAAGCAAGAGTGTGGGCTTTCTTTTTTAACCGCTTTATGTCAGTAGGGGGAGGGTTGAGTGAGGTGGTAGAATAAAGTGAGAGCACAGACATGGAATTATACACTTTAAAATGGTGAATTTTACCTCAATTAAAAAAAAAAAAGCTCAAAACCTGGTCATTGATTTTGATCAGTGGGAGACTCCCTGGACACTGGGGTCTGCAGTGGGACCTGAGGAGGATTTCTGACAAGAGCAAGTGGCACTGAGGCTGCTGGGCTGGGAGGCAGTTGGAGAGGCCTGGGTGTGACCTTAAGGAGTTCCCAGTGTCCAGACAGGAACCGAAAGTGGGAGGGACGAGGCCGGACAGGAACAGAGAGCTTGTGCAGGAAGTGGAGAGGAAGCCCGCCTGCAGCCCCAGGGCTGAGGACATGGCCGAGTCAGGGAGGGGCGGGCCGCCCGCACCCAGCAGACCACTGGGAAGTGGCCAGAGAAAAAGAGGTGGCGAGGGTGCCAGAAGAGGGCATTTGAATCAAGTGGGTAGGGTTGGCGGCGTCTTCACTGGTGGCAGTTGGGCGGGTTGCCAAGTCTACTTGGAGGGAGCTGGTCATCTGGTGAGAGCAGTGTCCAGCTAGGATGGGAGAAGAGTGAGAGGACAGGACCTACAGGGATGGGGATTGTTTCTTCATAACTTTTTTTTATTGTAAAATAAAATACACATAAAAATTGCCATTCTAACCATTTTAAATGAACTTACTGTTCAGTGGCATTAAGTACACTCACAGTGGGGACCTCATCTGAATGGAATCAGTCTTTGTCCTTTTGTCTCTGGCTCACTCCACTTGGCATAGAGCCCTCGTGGTTCACACACAGTAGTGCGCACCGGAATTTCCTGTCTACGGCCGAATAATACTTGACCGTGTGGCGGTACCAGGTCATGCTGATCGTTCGCCCACTGGACACCTGAGTTGCTCCACCTCTTGGCCGCTCTGAGAAGTGCTGCTGTGCACGTGGCCGTGCGGGCGGCTGTTGGGAGTCCCTGCTTTCCCTCCTTCGCTTCTGTACCCAGAAGCGGTGTGGGGGTTGTTGGATCTTAAGGTTTTTGATATTTACCTTTTCGAGGAACCACGAAACTCTTCCACAGCAGCTATACCTTTTCATTCATGCCAGCGGTACACAAGGTTCAGGTTTCTCCGTTGCACCAACACTTTTCTTTTTGATTATAGCCATCCCAGTGGGTGTGAGTGGTTCGTCGTGGTTTTGGTTTGCATTTCCCTCGTGGCTAGTGACGTGGAGCATCTGTTCATGTGCTTACAGGTCATTTGTGTATCTTCTGGAGAAATGTGTACAAGTTCTTTGCACATTTTTCACTTGGGTTTTGTTGAATTATAGTTCTTTATTATGGATACGAATCACTTATCAGATAATATGATTTGCAGATATTTTTCCAATTCCATGGGTTGTCTTTTCACTTTCTTGATAGTGAAAAGTTTGAAATTTTTCTGTAGTCCAGTTTTTCTTTTGTTGCCTGTGATTTTGGCATCATAACCAAGAAATTGTTACCAAATCCAATGTCATGAGTATTTCCTCCCTGTTTTCTTCTAAGAGTTTGGCAGTTTTAGCTCCTGAATTTAGATCTTTGGCCCATTTTGCGGTAATTTTGTACGTTGTATAAGGTAGGGTCCAACTTCAGGTCCTATTCAGGCCTGGTTTCTGACATCCATTTACGTCCTTGATTGACAGAAATTTCAGCAGATTTCAAGGAGCCACCATCCCTGCCAGGGAAAGAGAAGCCTCCCTCGACAGCAGCCTGCGGGTCACCCCTGGCCACACACTCCCCACCCTCTGCTGACCTTCCCCAGGCTGCCCTGCCTCCATCGGCTTCACCTGCCCTCCCTGGGCGCTTGGAGGACTTCTTGGAGAGCAGCACAGGGCTGCCCCTACTGACCAGTGGACATGAGGGGCCAGAGCCCCTCTCCCTCATTGATGACCTCCATAGCCAGATGCTGAGCAGCTCTGCCATCCTGGACCACCCCCCCTCACCCATGGACACTTCGGAATTGCACTTTGCCCCCGAGCCCGGCAGCATGGGCCTGGACCTGGCTGATGGCCACCTGGACAGCATGGACTGGCTAGAGTTGTCATCAGGTGGCCCCGTGCTCAGCCTGGCCCCGCTCAGCACCACGGCCCCCAGCCTCTTCTCCACAGACTTTCTTGACGGCCACGACTTGCAGCTACATTGGGATTCCTGCTTGTAGCTTTCAGGTTTGCCAGGGGACTGGAGGGGCTGGAAGTTGGGAGCTTCGGGAACTGTAGGGAGCTCGGCTCTCTCCTGCCTGGTTCAGCCTCTCCGTGCGGTCGTGAGTCCTGACAATCACAGGCCCTGCTTCCCCCTCCCTGGCTCAGGCTCACTCAAGAGAGAAGCTGCCAAGCAGCAGCTCTGGGTCCACTCCTGGGTTTGAGAGGCCTGGACAGGCCAGGGGTGTTCTATTTGACCTCCTTTTGTGAGGTTGGAGGTAACCTGTCCGGCTGCAGTTTGCTCAGGTGGGCAAGGCGTGAATCCCTCCCTTCCCTGTGAGGGAAGAAACAAGCAGGGCCTCTACCTCCCATTCCCAGTGGTGCCGACCCCAGGCTCCTGGGAAGGTGGGGGTTTGGTGGGGGGTGGGGGGAGCTGCCACGTTAACGTCTTGGTGTAGTGTAACCATTTAGCGGTTGGTAGCAAACGTGTTCTGTACAGGTGTACATACCTCTATTATATATCGCCATACATATATACATATATTTTTGGGGGGGAAGGAGGATGCAGCTCCCTCCCATCCTACTGTGCACATACGGAATGGCCTGGAGACCACCTCTTCTGGGGTCCCTAGCTCCACCCTTCACGTGTGTTTGACATGTAGACACCCCATCACAGCCTGTACCCCACCTGTCCTGCTCCTTATCAGTGCCACAAGGGCAGAGGTGCTTCCTGGTCCCCTGCCCACATTCCATCCGCTGCCTCACTGCAGCCACCACAGCCCTGGGACAGGAGGGGCATTAGCCACAGAGTGGGGCCAGAGGTAGCCCTCAGGCCATGGCTTCCTCCTGTGCTGGGGCCCAGCCTCCCTTCTGGCCTGTCAGTGTCATCCACAGGGCCCTGGGCTACTGGGGAGGGAGTCACCAAAACCAGTGCTGGGACAGAAGTGGGGAAGCTGTGTGAACTTTTTAAAATAAAAACAGAAACCCCATTTGTTAGTCTGCATTCAATCTAGGGACAAGGCAGTTGGTACGGCTGGGCCCCAGGTCTTCTGGCATCTGAGGGCCACACCATAGCCCCACCTTCCCAGCCAGGCTGTCCATCTAGACCATTCCAGAAAGGGCAGAACCTTGGACATAGAGCTCCATGGCCCCTACTGGACCAAAGACGGATGTGCTTTCTCAAAGACAATTTATTTACAACCCAAAGAGGCCAAGGAGCCTTTAGCCACCCCCCCCTCCTTTCCCCCATTCCTTTCCTGAGTGAAAACTGACAGGTGGCTCTCTACCTCCTCACGAGGTTTATGGTCAGTACAAGCAGTGAAGTTGGGGCCCGGGGCCGACAGAAAGACACTGGGTGGAACAGACTGAGCCAGGCCCCCCACCTTCTGCTTCAGGGTGGTGTCCCCTATCTCCCTACCATGACGCCTGGCTGAAGCTCCAGTGTCTTCTCCCCTTGCTCCTGCTGGGTTAGGCCTGGGCCACCTCAGCCCCTGTCCAAAGCAGGGCAGTGCTGCTTTCTTGCTGAGGAAGGAGCTGCTCTGGTAGCCGATGGGTTGGGAGAGGCCTGGGCATGACGGGGCCACTGGAGGAAGAGCATCACCCATCTATGTCCCAGCTGAAAAGGTGGTGCTTCACCAGCATGTCCTGGACGCCTTCCTTCAGGGGCTTCTTCTCCTCCTGCACACAGGGACAGCCCCTCACTGTCTGGGGCCGCACAGCAAGGAAGCCCAAGGTGGCAGGAGCCTGAGTGGTCCTTTGCAGGCAATGCCAGCACTTAGGCGAGACTACAGGGCCCTGCCTCAGCCACCCAGGAAGTGTTTGGACTGATCTGCCAGCACACCCACCACAGCAGCCCCTTCAGGAGAAAGGTTGCTGGGCCAAGGACCAACCCCAACCACCTACCTCTCTCTTCGCAGGAAGTTCCCAGTCCTGGGAGAGGCTGAAGGCAAAGCAGCAGAGGACACTGGAGGGAGGGAGGGGAGGCTGTCAGTCACCCTCAGGCTGGCTCTTTCCAACCTCCAACCCCCAGGGTCACTGGACTGGGCTCCAGAAGCCCAGCACCGTGGCAGGGTCCTCACCGGAGCTCACACTTGATCTGAACCCAGCCGGGGCTGCGCAGGAAGGACCAAGGCTGGTACCACTTTTCCACAGTAGGCAGGCTAGAGCAGAGCACCTCCAGCCACAGGTGTAGGACCTGCTCACTGGGGACGGGGGACATCCATAGTGTCTTCTGAGGACCATGGTGGGGCTCTGCCCTCTGGTGCTGGGCCGGGCCACCCCACTCCAGGGTTTCTCTAGCCCCAGGCCCTCTCCCTCCATGTCCTCTACTCAGCCCTTTCCTCTCTGCATCCGAGACAGCCACCGCCTCCTGCCAGGCACAGGGACCCTGAGCCCTGCTGGTCAGTCCCGAGTGAAGTGCATACTCACCAGCCTGGTGGGGCCACAGCCACTTCCTGAGCTTGTCTCACCAGCCCCTCCTCCCACCGCAGGTGGTGGCAGATCCAGAAACATCTCCTTCACCCAGGCCTGAGCCTCACAAATGCCCAAGGCCCCTCAGGCAGGGCTCCCCTCCCTGGTTTGCTGCAGTAGACTCACTTCTAGGAAGTCTCTTCACTGGTCACTTTGCTAAAATCTGTGCTTGATATAACCCCCAAGTGCCTTCCTTGGCCACAAAGCAAGAGCTGGTCTTGTGCTAGAAGGCGGCCTTGGAGAGTCAGCCTTGCTGCCTTCCACTTGGCCACCTCCTCGGGGTCCTGGAAGGCCCGGCTCACAGGCCCCTGCTCCCCCACAGGGCCAAAGCCAAGGCTGCCCCTTGTCTGACCGGGGGCTGTCACACCTGCAGCAGGAGCAGGCACTCACTTGAGCCCTACGCAGATGAGGGAGCGGAGCTTCACATCCATTTGCGCGTGTGCGGCATCGTGGGTCACATTCACAGACTGTACAGCCTGGGAAGACACAGCTGTCACTCAGATGCCCCCAGTGCCAGCCCAGGAGCCAGGCTGCAGTCCAGGCCCCACCTACCCGATAGAGCAGCTCCTCCGGGGTCAGAACTTTGCCGTCTTCATCCAACCTGGGGAAGTGGGGACCGAAAGCTGCCTGGCGTGCAGGCTTGGGCTGCTCCCCCTCCCCCCACAAGGATGCCGGGATGGACACCCTGCCAGGGGAGGGGCCTGGGGCCTGGGTACCTGTATGTCTTACACAGCACCAGGCGAGAATACACGGAGTCGAAGTCTCTCTCTACTTCCCGGCCTGCTGCCTGAGGGCAGGGGGATAGTGTCAGGGACAACTGGGTAGGTCGAAGCCACAGGGTCCGATTAAGTGCAAATCGCCACCCCAAAAGCTCCTGCCACCAGCTCCACAGGGCCCAGGGGCGTGGGGAGAAGAACAGTGCGGAACGTGGGTCCAGCCACTGACTCACCTCCTCGATAAACAGCCAGGGGTGGCAGGCACCCCCGAGCAGCGATGGCTTCTTCAGTCCGTGCTCAAACAGGGCCTTGAGGGCCGGGCAGAGGGTCCCTCGCACGAGGTCCGTGACCCCCTCCGTCACTGTGTCGTCCCCAGCGATGGAGTACTGATGGTCGGGGATAGGGTCTGAGAGGCCCCAGACCCACACCGCCAGTCCCCTCTCCCTGTCCTCACATCCACAGCCACACGCCAGAACTTGGTCAGGATACAGGCCCTGGCTAGGAGGGCACGGGCCTCCCAGGGTGGAGAGGGCAGTGTCCCACCCAGTGCCCTGCTTACCTCTTTGCTCCGTTCATCCAGGACTTCCACAAACTTGGCTGGAAACCAACCTGTGGGAGAGGCAGGGTCCTGTGAGGAGCCTGGTGTACCCACACTTCCCCCCAAGATGCTGAGGACAGGCTCAGCCCAGTTGCTGGCGACAGGTGGCAGGGCCGAAGGGATGCGGCAAAGAGTGACCAGCCTCACTGCCCAGCCCACCTCCCTCACCTGGAGACCCGACCAAGGCCTCACCTCTCAGGCCATTCAGCTCCCCCACCCAGCAGTGCTCGTCCTTCTGAGAAATGATCTGCAGAGGAAAAGGACGGGAGGCAAAGCTTTGGTTGCCCGGGCCCAGTGGCTTGCACACACCTTCTGGTTTCCTCCTCAGCCAGGCCGATGGAAATTCTCGGCAGGGAGAGGGCTCGGGTGAAGCTGGATAAGCTGCCAAAGCCTTGGGGCCAGCAGGTAGGTGGCAGTACCTGCTCCCAGCAACCAGGATCCACCTGCCTCTGAGCACCCACCTCCACCTGAGAACCCACCTCCCGAGGCCCGCCTTACGCACTGTGATGATGTCATTCTTGCGGAAGCCCAGCTCATCGTCGTCATGTCTCTCAAAGTCCAGCAGGGCTTTGGCCCGGCGCCGGTGGCTGCGTGAGCAGGCCACATAGTTCTCATGGTCCCGCTGGTGGCTCTCCATGCTGTAGTCTGGGGTCAGCTCCTGCCAGAGCCGTGGGAAAGCCCACCAAGGAAACGGTGCCTCAGGATGGGGATGGGGAAGGAGAGCCCCCAAGTCGAGCCACTGGGCTCGGGACAGGACAGGGAGCCTGCAACTCACCACATTACAGTTTTTGGGGTCAGTGCACTGGAAATGGCGTGCCACACGCAGGATGGCTTCTCGGAGGTCAGCCAGCAGTTCTGTCTGCTTGATGTTCTTGGCCTTGAGTGCCTCCAAGTCATCCTCCCCTGAGAGGCCCAGAGAGCTATGGCAGCCATGGCTCCTGCCCAGCCCCCTTCCCAACTGCGAGGAGGCTCAGAGTCCATCCCGAAGTGTGAGGATGAAGGGACACCTGGCTCTATCTTCATTGCCCCCCCACCCCGGGTTCCAAAAGCAGACTTGGCTGGCAGGAGGGAGACACTGAGCTGGGTGGGCCCCGCCGCCTATGGCATAATGCTCACCGAAGAGCAGGGAGGTGATGCCGGACTTCCTCCGCTGGGTTCGACGGCGAACCACCTGCAGGCAGGAGAGCGGGTCAGCACCAGGAAGGCGCCCAGCGCCCAGCCAAGTGGAGGGCATCTCAGCACTGGAGGAAGGGAGCCGAGCCCTTCCGTGGGACAGCCCAGGGCCTCTCGGGCGTGCCGCCTCATCAGAAGTGTCCTGTCACTGCAAAGCTGGGTCTGCCCTACACCCAAACTGGGCATGTCGCCCCACAGCTGTGGTCTGCTGGGCCGAGCCTGGCCTTGGGTGCTGAGCTAGGGAGGGGGCAGCAGACAGGGAAGGGCTCACTCTCTGGGCTTCCTCAAAAGACCCCCGTGCTGTAGGTGAGGCAGAGCCTCCTCCCTCACAGGCCCACCTGAGAGAGGTGGGTGGTGGTGCTGGTCCCCAGGAGCTGGCCCTGGTCTGCAATGATATAGGCCATGTGCTTGCGGCGCTGGGTCTCCACGGCCACATCAGTGAGGGAGCCCGCCAGCCGCATGGCCTCCCCCAGCAGCAGCTCCGCATCCTCAATCTGGGAGGGTATGTCCGACAGCGTGTTGAAGATGGAGGCCGAGTTCTCTGACTGGATCAGCTCCTCCTCCTGGGCCATGCGAGGGGAAGGAGGGGGCAGTCACTGACCAATCACCATCCCTTGGCATGCATGACTTCCCGGGGTGACCAGCTGAGCACAAGGTGTCCCTGGCCCCAGGAGACCACCCCCCTGCGGTAGCTGTCAGGAGGGGCCGGTGCTTAGGCCACACGATGCTGAAGCCCGGACTCCCTGCATCGCCAAGAGTAGGGGCGCCAGGACAGCTGTGTCTGGGACGGAGCTCCTGGTCTAGCTGGGCAGCTGGGCGGCGTGGCCCCGGGTGGGACGGGGCTGCAGCAGCACCTTGAGGCGTAGCATGCCCAGCGTGGTCTGGAAGAGCACCAGGGAGCCCTCGTAGAAAAACAGGTCCCAGAGGCGCAGCAGCAACTTAATGTGCACCACGCTGGCGAAGGCCGTGAGGAACCAGTGCAGTGTGATCAGGGACAGCTCTGCGGACAAACCAGGGACAGTGGCAGGGAACG